TATTATATTTTTTAACAGTGCATAAAATCTGAGCAATTTCTTCCACAACAGTACTGACTCTAAGGTGTAGCCTACAGTTCAGAGAAAGAATGCAGTGTAAATATTAATACACTGTAAAAACGGACAGCGAGGTCCATCAAATTCACAGAGATCCAACTCTAGTGTTCCTGTCCATTCCACTTTACCAATAGTGCATTCTGAGACAGCTCTCATCTATATGCAAATGACGGCACAGCGCTTTCTTCTTTTCCATAAAGCACAATATGAAGCTTTAGAGATGAGCAGGTGCACTTTGAGAGTGAGTCTATGGACATTGCTGATGAGCACAGAATTTTTCATTGGAAAAAAGGGAAATGTCCAAGATACTTGCTCATTCATTTGCCTTGCCATTAGAATGTTTTCCGAGACTCTGTGAACTTCATTATCTGAGCAATTACTGGTGCCAGGATTGTTTGACAGTGAGTTAGTTCATGAGTTGAGAAGCTGTCCGCTTTGGTGCGAGATGAACATGTTTGTTATGTCACTTATGATATTAAAAACTCTCACTTTACAGTGCTTATGGTTCTGGAGTTGAAATGTGCCACATGACAGACTTCAGAAAGTCAGAAAGGACGTATTTAATGCGTTTAGCAGCCAGAGCTCTAATTACTGAAGACATGAAAGATCTGCTCCGTAAATCTCTCCCTCTGTTCCACCCCAATAATCTCTATCTTGCACATATCAGAAGTCATTCATCCTACCTTGAATCAGATCACGAGCTGTTTGAAATCACTCAGCTCTATCGACCCATGAAAGACTTGCTTTATTCCCTCATACTGCACTGTTTTATCTCTCTGCAGCTCTCTCTGCGCACTTCAGGGTGTGTGAGCCTTACTCCGACCACAAGGGGCACTATCACTTTGGTTTCCACTGCCCTCGACTCTCGGACAACAAGACCTACATATTCTGCTGTCACCATAACAACACGGCCTTCAAGTACTGCTGCAACGAAACTGAATTTCAGAGTGTGATGCAGCTCAAC